TACACATGGACATGCATAATATATAATATTTTAAAATGGATCAGCAGAAAGTAACTCCTCCTCCTCTTTTTCCACAAAATTAAAAAGAAATAGCCTTTTGCTGTTGTGGTATAACATATCTATCCAGAGCATGAGTCCAACAAATCTTAGTGGTTTGGAATTTTGATCTGGTCCTAATAATACAATTATGAACGGAGTTGATGCTTTGGAGTATGTTTTTAACTGTAAAGTCTCTCTTGCTAATTCCATGCTTGATAGACAAAATGCTTGGTAGCTTATGAAGGAAGAAGCTCAGTGACTGAGAAGCGAAGAAGCCAATAGCCAAGCCATGACGCCTGTTTGAAGGAATGTGGAGGGGAGAAAAAGCTAACTGGCTTGAAAGAAAGTGTGCTACTTCCTATCTGATCCCCCAGGCGTTTTATGAGATAAGTGGTCCTAGGGCAAGGTGAAGTCAGAAAGGAGTGAACTAGTGAACTTGTAGTTATAAGCACACGGGCGTAATAGGGTGATGAACATTTACTTACACACCTTTAATGGACAATGGGCTAACTATAATGCACATGTGATGTATGTAAATGTATGTATTAAGTGGCATTTTAACTGTTAGTATTACTAGATTTTATCTGGCCAGGGCGGCTTATTTTATATTGTATTTTTGTATTTTTAATTTAATGTTTACATTTATTGTAATTTATATTATAATTACTTTTAATTTATTGTTGTAAGCCGCCCCGAGGCTTCGGCGAATGGGGTGGCATGAAAATGTTTTAATAAATAAATAAATAAATAAATAAATAAATAAATAAATAAATAAATAAATGTCGTGGGATGAGATGAGAGACAGGAAGTAGGCAGATGGAAAAACTGTAACCTTCTAGTTCCTTACCCAATGAGGGAAAAGGGGAGGACTGTGGCGCATGGATTGAGGGGTAAAAGGAGATATTTCGTGTGTTTGTACTTTGGAAAAATTCTGGTAGAGCGGACTCTCCCCATCTTTTGCAATAAGCGAAGGAATCGCCCCATTCTGTTGGTAGTCTTGGTCATTTAACTTGAGGAGAAGTATTTTTGCAGCTTTTTGCATAACACTTAAGATGCAATTTTATGCATGTTTAGCTAGAAAAAGGCCCTACAGCTCCCTGCATTCACCTGTCTGCACATGTACAGGATTAAGCCCTTAAACAGTCTTGCCACTGAGTGCAATGTCAGCATTTTTTATTAGTAGCACCCTGCTGAAACATCGCTGAACTTCTGAACTGGCAGTGCTCAAAAAAAACCATGCAGCAACACACACCAGCGAAAATTGCAGTTGATTCTTTAAATCAGATAAGTAGGGGACTGGCTCATATTCTTTTCTGTCATGATTCAAGAGATGATATAAATGGTACGGATCTTGTGGTATGTAGGTAGTAGACCTATATTGCAAGTTTGTAGTGGATCATAATAAATAAAGATGTTTTGACTCTGTGATAACTGGTTTCAGGAGGCTGTTTTATTTTTATGTATTGCTTTAAAAGAAATTAAAGTCACCACTCCAGTTGCACAACCCTCACAAAGCAGCTTACAAGATTGCAAAAATAAGAGTATCAAAATTAAACTTAAGCACGTACAGAGCATCAGCTAATGATTTCTAAGCACCAAATGAGGCCATATGTATCTCCCTGGGGATGGAGTTAAAGGCCTGTTTTATGGTTGTTTTAATGATGACTTCTCCGCTCGAGTTTATTGTACAATGCCTTGAGCATGTAACTTTGCTAGATGGATAGACTGAGTGATCTTTTGGCATGCTATCCATCTCCGTTAAGCCAACCTGGGAATAAAAGCTCCATTAAACGCAAAGGGACATTTGCAGAAATATACTTTATGCCGTGTATCTCCTACACCTTGGCATGTTGAGGCAACCGTCCTGTACAGCACATACTTAATATAGACCTTACCCAGGTGCAAGCCCTACTGGACACATTGGGAATTGCTTCTAAATGAGCAAAGAATCGGACTGCAAAGCATTCTGGGCAGACATAATGATTCTAGGGCACTGATGGCGAACCTTTTAGAGACCACGTGCCCAAACTGCAACCCAAAACCCACTTACTTATCGCAAAGTCCCAACACTGCAATAAAACCTGAAAACTGAGGTTTTAGTTTAGAAGAAGCACCTCACAGCCAGTCCAAGCAAAAATATATGTATCCTCGGCAACGCACTGACCGGCCATGCGAAAGCTCAGACGAGTCGCAGCTAATGAGTCGTGGCTCGTGACATCATTGCCTGGCACCGATACTCCTTTCTGAGCATGCGCATGGCCCCTGTGTGCGCTGTGATCCGATGCTCGGCTGCGGGGGCGATCATGGGGCGATTTGGCTCGCGTGCCGACAGAGAGGGCTCTACGTGCCCACTGTGGCACGCATGCCATAGCTTCGCCACCACTGCTCTAGGGGCTCGGGAGGGGATGGTGGGTGTCAGAATCCCGGAATCTCAATTTGAGAAGAGGGAATAAAACTCGGGTTCGTGGGAAAGACCAAGCGTCCAGACCATCTGAGGCTTTATTGTTTTACCCCCAAGGTTCCTGCGGTACACTCACGATAATGCATGCATTACCTATCGGGCAGGCAGAGGTGAACTCTGCTGCGAAGCTTCAGTACCACTACAGGGCATTTATAGGTACACAGGTACAGGGCAATCGATGACAGAATGCAGAGATTACAATAAGATTCTGAGGTCATCACATACAGAACAGATAAAGGAATGTCAGTCAATCACATTGTAACAATGAGATTAAAATATTTCTAATTGCCTGTATTGACACTTTAGTTGAGTAACTTGAACCCATCTCCAGGTCTGCTCAGACATGCAAATTCAAGCTACTAGAAACTATTCATGATAAGCTCAGACCCTTATCTCAGACTCTAAACATTCTGCATGATCAGGGCACATGAAGCCCTCTGGGCTATCAAAGGGTTATTGTAAACTGAATTCCAACAATGACTATTTACAATGTATATTCGGGCTGAAATGGCCTGTGTACTGTAGCTTACAGCTAAAGGTGAGAGAAAGGAGCGGGGGAATGCCATTTTAAACAGTGACAGCTTGGTTTTGAGAAGGAAGACAGGATTTGATCCCACATTGCAAAGGCACACAGGAGTAGTGCTTTTCAGACAGGATTTATCCAAATTTTCCCAACATGGGTCAAACAGGAGGCAGGGGTGGTGCTGGATATGGGGTTCGGCCCCACAGAGCAAGAAATGCACTAATTTGCATATGTTAATTTACACCTTTCTAAAGCCTGTGTGCAGAGGACACCGTCTTCCTATTTTTAAAAAGGAATGAATGTGTGGACAGGAGAGGAGGGTGTTTCTCTCCCTCCTGGAGTCATTCCATCAAGTTGCTTGATGGGAGATTCAGAACAGATAAAAGGGGGTCCTTCTCATGCGGTGCATAGTTGAATTATGGAATTCGCTTTCATGAGATGTACTGGTGGCCAGCAACTGGGATGCTTTACAGGCCGACTGGGCAAACTCATGCAGAAGAAGGCTATGAAGGGCTACTAGTCCTCATGGCTGTGTTCTGCCTCTGGTATTGGGCAGGAGGGGCTCTTTTACCCAGATCCTGCTTGAGCAATCCTGTAGGCTGCGGCTTTCTTTGTTTTTTATTCATTGTATTTCTATCCCACCTTTTCTCCTTTCAACGAACTCAAGGCAGCTTATATAACGCTCCTCTTCTGCATCTTACCCTCACAACAAAAACCCAGTGAGGTAGGCTGGGCTGAAAGTCAGCCAGTGAGCTCCATGACTGAGTGGCAACCAGAACCAGATCTCACGAGTTTTTCAAGCACTAAACCACACTGGCTCTCTGCGTGCACAGAATGCTGGATTATGGATCGTTGGTCAATATGGCTTTTTCTATATTTTTATGTTCTTGCTTCCAGAAAAGAAATCCTCGGGCAGAAAATTCAAGTGCTGGGGGCAACAGGAGGCGAAGCTAATCCCAAAGGGTCATATGCAAGATTCCCAGTGCCCCAGTCCCTTTATTTCAGATATTCGAGGTTCCAAATGAATTATTCGAGGCTCCAGCCCTACAGGGCTGGAATCTAACAACGCCTTTAACAAGACGGAAAAACCACAGCAAAAGCTACCTGATAGGCCTTCCCCAGAGATCGCTGTTCTCATTTACCAACTGCCTGAAATCTGAAGACCGGCTCCCTTTTCCTCCACGCCGCCCCCTCCCTCCCCCCTCCCCTCCGCTTTCGAACGTTCCATAATGGAACGCAGAGTACACGAACGTTCCGGAGGAAAGCTCGTCATCCAATTGGAGCGCAGAGCTGGGCCGGCTGCGCCCAGAGTTGCGGGCGGGGCCACGTGCCTTCCCCTCCTCTTTCCCCCACGTGTCTTTCGCTTTGTATCTCCTCATGCTCGGTGGCGGCTTGGATCCGCTCTTCTTTCGGTTTCCTTCTTCCGTGCTGCTGAGGCCGGCCTCTGGCTGTGATGGCGACTCCGCAGCCTTCCCCTTCGTTGAGGGGCACGGAGGCAGAACAGGAGAACGAGGAGGAGGAGGAGGAAGCCGAAGAAGAGGAGGAAGAATGGTGCGGGGAGTACGATTCCACCTGGGAAGACGACGAGGAGGAGGAGGAGGAGGAGGAGGAGGAAGGAGGACAACTGGAGGAAGATCCCGGAAGGAAGAACTCGGAAGCGGCAAACCCACCCGCAGAGACAGAAGAGGCTAAACCGCAAGAGAAGCCCGGTAGGCGGTCGCCCGGCCCCAAGCGGGCCTCTGGTTTCCAGGTGAGGGTCCCAGACCTGAGGAGAAGCAGGTAGTCTCTGAGGGTTCTAACGGTTGTCTGCGGAGAACGAGGCAAGATCCTCTGTGGGGCAGACATGGGGGCTTAGAGCGCATCGGTTTATTCGGAATTGCAGGAAGCTGCGGGCCCCCCTCCCCCAACCCCGCGCCCCGGTGTTCGTATGATCGGGGATCATTGTGTGTGTGTGTGTGTGGGAGGGAGAGAGAGAGACACGGAGAAGCCAACAGCAAGTCTTGGAGGACAGCCCCCCCCCCCCGAAGCCTTGCTTCCAGGAGCTCTCAGTGTCCAGAGTAAAGAAAAGGAACCCCAGTGACGACTGAAGAACGTTAGTTGACCCTTTGACCAGTACTAGGTCTACCAGTGGAGGGTGTTAAAGTGAACCAAGTTGTATTTGATAGGCTCGTTCTGATCCCTCTTTATCTGAGCACTGTCGATTATGGTTCTCATTTCGCTGCTGGGGGTGGGGGGGGTGGACAGTGAGTTTGCCTGGAGCCACTCAGCAGATCCCTGACTGAGCTGCCCCTCTGAATTCCCTGCCCTCAAGGACAACCTTGTGCACAGGAATCTTTGGTGCAACTGCAGGGGTGCAATAGTATTTTTCAAAAGCTCACGCCATTTTTTAAAGAATGGGTATAACATCTAGAAAGGGAGTAGCCCAGAAAGAAAAGCACCAGGTAGCTTTCTTAGCCTAATGCTGTTTTTCCAGACACAGTAAGGTTTCTTTCCCCATGGGTGAGCTTTCATTTTTGTGCCCCCTCTCCCAAACTCTGAAATTCCAGGATTTTCCCAGGTGATTCTGCTGGACACGTAGGCAAGTTCAAAGTTCAAAGTCAAACACTGTCCATTGTTTCTGTGAGAATTCTAAGCTGTGAAGATGATAACGATGCGAACATTAGTTTATTTTTAAAACCTGTATATCTCCTGCCTTTCTATTAAAATAGTCAAATCATTAAGGTAGCAGACCAAACATTTATATGACAGCATAAAGCAGGCAGTTAGCGATTTGAAAGGACCACAACCAAACACCATATTAAAGAGCAGTGCCCAACAAACCCCACCAGGAAAACCACATACATTCTCTTGTCTTCCAAGTGATGAGCAAAATTAAGCTTCCCTTGGAAGACAGTTCCAAACTCTCCACACTCATTTAAGGCATGATTGTGTATGTCACAAATCTCAGGTACACGCATTCTGCCATGTTCCAGTCATAGGTGCTCAGTTACAGGTGTTCACTTTTAGTATACAGATGGGTGGGGCTGCCCATAACTCCAAACTTAGGTAATTTGGGGCATCCCACACAGTGCAGGTAGAATCACTTCTGCTCTCCTCTTACTCTGCAAAACAACTAGATGAGCAATTTCAGCTGACTAACGGGGGTATTTTTGAGAGTGAGGGCTAGAAGCTGAGATGCTGCCAGGTGCACATCAGTCCCCATCCCTCTCTGTCCCCTGGAATGCCTACAAAATCCCTTCTTTGACATCACCAAGAGCCCTTGCAGCTAGTGCAGAAAGACCTTGGAGGAGTATCCCAACTCGGTTCTTTGTGCACCAGCTGCTACAGGGGAAGGGGGATCTAAGGGTGGAATCTAGACAAACCTGTGGCCCTCTCGATGCTGTCCAGGGGCCATAGGATTATTCTACATGTGTGGATGCTCATTTTCCCTTCTTTATGGCATACCTTCTTCTGGAAAACTTAGTGCCTTCTGTGCATAAGACATTTTGTCTTGAACTTCCTCCCCCCTTTTGTAGCATGGCATTTAAATATAGTTTGGCTGCTTTGATTTTTATAGTAAAAGATACCCCTTCACCAAATGCGTAAGCCCCTGTGTTGGTCCATTAGAAAAAGATCCACAGTAGGACATGAATCTGCATTCAGACCAAAATGGAACCTTGTAAGTGACCCAGTTGCTATAAGTGACCTGGAACTGTATGCAGGTGAGTTCTGGGATTCCATGCCAGTGAACAGGTGAGCTGGGAAAGGATGGAATGTTTCTCTCTTCCCTGTGTCTGCCATAGGATTTTTTAAAACTTGGTATTTCTTTCCTATTCCCTTTCTGCAAAGATCAAAGTCCCTGAAAAAACCCTCTGTGTACATTCTCTCTCTCTCCCTCCCCAGATTTTTCCATCATTACTTTATCTCTTTAGTCCAGCATAGAAATGAACTGTAGTTTCTTTATAAGGTTTTAGGGGCCTTTTTACAAGGCTGCTAGCTAAAATGATAACAAAAAACTTTTGCATTCTGCAGGACATGTTTATTTTTGTTGTTGACTGGTGGGTGCCTTCCAGAAGATCTTGTCTCTCACTGATGTAACGCAAGGTGAACTGATGGGTTTGAAATCTGTGTGTGAAAAGCTTCACTTAAGAGTTCAGAATAAGCCACAATTTACTGGGTTTGGGTGATAAAGCGAACAGTGGTTTGCTGAGGATCTGGAAATAAGAAATGGGGCTCTAAGAGGGAGCACAGAAGGGCAAGGCCCAGGGTGGAATGATGCACCCAGCACCAGGCTTTGCCTTCATGTTATGTCTGAATCACAACGCTGTGGATGAGCTTTTGCTTTTTCTGTATAGGAGAAATGAAAACCAACGCTTTGATTTACTTCTGGTGTGGAACACAGGAGAAACGGAAGTGAAATTTGACAGGGCCCTGTGCAAACAAAATGTCAACTCCATGGAGTCATTGCTCTTAGACAAATTTTGAACTTTCAGGATGGGATGTGCTGATTAATGAGAGTAAAGTCACTATGCAGCCAGGAATTTGAATGCTCAAACAGAATTTTATTCTCTTGACCAGTTGCCAGGATTGAGACCAGGAAGGGAACCCACTTTCCTGGAAGCATTTGTACTTTTGCCTCTTGCATATAATATATTTGTCAATTAATTTTGAAAAAAATGTGATTTCCAAACTGCACTGTTTAATTACTGATTTCTTGCTTAGATTTTTAACAGGCTCCTGTTTCAAAATATTACCAAAGCTCTAACACGTTTTACCAGTGTGAAAACTTACATTATGGTACGTTTTCAATCTTACCCTTCTGTGATCACTTATCATCTCTCCAAGTAAATAAAACCTTGCTGGAACAAGTAAAGAGGGTTTAGTTAGATGTTAGTGAAATATATGCATTCTATTGCTAATACTGGAGGCTGATGAAGTGCTTCAAAAATTCATTAAAATGTGTGTTCTGTCTTTAGGACTGGCCAAGCTTTCCATTGTTTGGAACCTGTAAGGTAAGGAGAAAAAGGTACTTTTGTGCTGTCTCGGGGGTGAGTGGTGTATCTTAGTGTCTTCTGTTGCACCCTTTGGCTGGCTGGTATTATGGGGAAGAAACTGGGTGGTCTTACAGTTCCCTTTTTCCTGTTCCGAAGGGCCAGTTTTAAGCTAGGTAGAAACAGAACTTGAATGCCTTTAAGTTAACTGATAGGCTTAAACACTTGCATGCTTCAGCCAGAGTGATGGTTAGTGTTGGACTGGAGACCTGGGAAAGCCAGGTCCCCGCTCAGCCATGGAGCCCACTGGGTGACGTTGGGCCAGTCAGGACGCCTCAGCCTCACCTACCGCACAGGGCTGTTGTAATGCGGATAAGAGAGTGAAGGAAGAATAGGTATGTCGTCTCGGGTTCCTCTCAAGAGGAAAAAAGGCAGGACATAAATGCAACATAATCATAATACTCAGGTGAGCGCTCTTGTTGCATTCAGCAGTGTCCCTTTCAGTTACTTTTCCTGTGAATGGGGAAATCTCTCATCGAAACACCTGCTTCTGCCCTCAGTGAGTAGTCTTAGGTGAGCCACCTGTCTCCCAGCCTGCAGGGGTTTTCTGCAATGCAAGATAATAATTTGGCCTATTTTACAGGGTGCATTGCATCATGGACTGGCAACGTTGGAAGGGCCCAACGGTCCATCCCCTCGCTCGGTGCAGGATTCCAAGCTAAGCCATCCCTCTCAGATGCTCAGGGTTCTTTGTAAGAATCACAGCAATATGAGTCACTTTCAGCACCACTGAAATATTGTACAAAGAGAGAGAAGGGAAAAGGACACGGTTTCCTCCTAAAATGGAGGGGAATGCACTCGCTTTGTCCCTAGGTTGTCATGCAGGTGTTTCTGGGAGAGGGCCTTCTCCCCGCTTTCGTAGGGTGTGTTTGTCCTAAGGGATGAGCTACACCTCAATGGCAAACGTTGCCACTGCTTGCCACCTGCATGGCACGTAGCAGGTGAATCCACATGGCTGCAGAAGAATCAAAAGACAATTTTAGATTGCATCTGTAGAAGTATAATTTTCAAATCATAGGAAAGAATCGTTCTACTGTTCATACACTGGTCAGAGCTCCCCTCAAATACTGTTTCCAGTTCTGGGCCATTCTTTAACAAGGATTTAGATACATTGGAATTCAGAAAAAGGCAACAAAGATGATCAAGGGATTAGAAAGGAAGTCCTGTAAAAAAAGATGGAAAGCACTGGATACATTTAGCCTTGCAGAGAGGAGATGCGAGGCCTGAGGGGGGATTTGACATTGTCCTTCAAGTACCTTAAGGGTTGTGACACACAGAGAAGGGGCCGCAGTTTGTTCTCTGTCGAGTCCCAGAGGACATGGGAAGAGAGACCCGAGTTACAGGAAGGCAGATTGTGGTTGGACTTCTGTTGGTCTGACAAGGGTTCCTGCTGCCTGGGGAACCGGTGGGCTCTCCACCTCTGGACAGATGCTTTAAACTGGGTTCTTGCGTTCAGTGTGGGGCTGGACGTTATGGCTTAAAGGACTCTTTCCAATGCTGCTATTCTATGGGATGTCAAGTGCACCATCATTCACTGACCCGGCGGAGCATGCAGGTCAAATCGTGCCCCTCCAGGAGTGGCAAGCCAGTGCTGTCCCAGCAAAGCACAGGTTTGTGCTCGGGGAATGCAGAGCGGGCCCTTGAGGCGCACTCCCTTGGCTGGGGCACCAGCAGCAGCGCACGCAACATTCGGTTGGACACATGCATGGAAGAGTCTCTTTGCAGTCGCCAGGTTGCACATGGAAAGCGGCCCCGGGCATTTTCAGCTGGCTGATGGCCACTGGGGCATTGACAGAGCAGTGGCCAGGCATCATGATTCCTCTCACTGCAAACCAACCAGGGTGGATAAAATCAATAATTTTTAATCAAATTTTTAGTTTAAATCAGATTTATAATGAAAATTGGATTGTGTGTGTGCTTGTGTGTGTAAAATAAAATGCTTTTGGAGGAAAATTCTATCTAAAGATAGTTTTCTGTTTAAGATACATTATAGTCCAGAGGTTATTCATCATGTAATAAGGGTTCGTTTTAATTATGTCGCATGAGGCTGTATGTTCATACAATGCTTAATTTTTTTTTGGTAAATGAATTCCATTCAGCCATTCACAATGTCGTGCTCTTCCAGAGGTTTCTGTAAGGTTATTGGGCAATTTTTCTCTCTAGAAGATAATATCACAGATGCTTGGTTTTACAGTTATCAGAACTGTGAATTCGCGTCTGCAGAGATTGCATGGCTCTTCATGGCAAAAATGTTATAAAATAACATACAGAGTTGAGAAAAGGACTTTAATCTCTCTGTCCCTTTGCAAGGCTCTGTAGACAGAAGCAACCCCTTACCTCTTTTAAGTGCCAAGTTTGATAAAATTCCATGGATTGGACTGAACAGACCTGCACAAGAAGCTAAGTGTGAGGAGGGAGGGGAAAGCAGTAAAAGTGACAGGGAACCCTTCTGAGCAGAGAACACTCCCCAAGTGTTTGGATCCTTTTGTGTATAGTCTGAGGTTTATCACATTATTCTTTCCCTGGAGGAGAAAACCTATAATGGCAGTAGACTGTAAAAGAGACCCAGTCTGGGAATATTTTAATGAAGTTCCTTTACCTATGGGTAGGGCAGGCAGGCATGCAAAAACATGTTTTAAATTTAGTCTTACTGACTAGTAACTTAAATTGTGATTTAAATCAAATCCACCCTAAAACAAACCAATATACATGAAAGAGGTTGCCTCAGCCTCCTACATTAGCCACAGACTCAGTCTCGTCTACCTCACAGGCAGTGGTTGTGAGGATAAGATTGAGAGAGGAGGAGAATTGAGTCTCTCGGAAAGGAAAAAAGGTGGGATATAAATACAATAAATCAATAAATATTGATGCTTGTCTCCTTTCCCCTAGAGCGCAAGTAGACAAAACTGGATGGCTGCGAGAGATATGCAGAAATACAGGCACCGTTATCCGGTATGAACTGGGTGAACTTCGTTCCTAGTGGGAACTTTTGGCCAGTGGTGCAGCGTGTTGGGCCAGGACATGGGAAGGACACCAAGCTGGGGAAGCATGCCCTAAGCACTTTGTGTATATATGCAAACCTGCAAGGGGTTGTGTAGCCTTGGGTTCCATGCTGGCCAACCTGGGCAGTGGGGGAGAGGAAAGGAGTGCCCTTCTCTCTCCTGTTGACCCGTTTCCTTCTGCCGGGGGCAACCGTGCGAATTCTTAAATGCAAGGCTATTTAATCATCACCGATTTCCTGCTTGATAGCTTTGAGTCAACGAACTAGGCATAGAGGCCAAACCAGAAAAGACATTTGAATGGGTATCCTAGGAGAAGGAAATTGTTTTCTGTTTGCGACCTGGCTCACCTACTTAAGCTGTCTTTTCTCAAGAATTCCTCTGAGGAATGGAGTGGGCAGATCCCCCTCTTAAAGGGGGCACAGTACTAGCTGTTGTGGCTTCGCTCATATGGGGTGGGCACAAAAGCCCAGCTCCACTTAGATGTTTGCCCAAAGGTTTTGCTGTAACAAACTAAGGGTTATCTTCACTTGTGCAGAGCTGAGTCCATTTGTTCCTTTTTATAATAAAGACAGAAAAGGGCTTGTGTTCTGTGGTTTTGGATGCTTTTCCCTTCACACATGGAGAAGACGGCAGGTCTCCTAAATTGTGTAGCAACCCTGATAACAAGGGGAGTGATGTGCTTGATGAAGGCTGGTGGATAAGCGATGACCATTCACTTCTAGCTCTGCCCTTGTTCGTTGTGTCCAAGTGTATTTATGCGTGGCTCTTCAGCCCTAAAAGAGACCATACCACACGGCTTACGAATAAAAATCGAACGTACAGAAATACCAGAACTGATTCACAGCACGCACCTATAGCCCTTCAGTAACAGAAAGGAAAAACACTGCCGGCCAAAGCGAGGTGGAGGGGTGGTGAAGGTACTGGCAGTTTCTCTGGCGCTTGAGAGGGAGGGTGCCAGCCAGGCAGGACAGGTGCCACCGTCAACGAGGCCATGCGTCACACGGTAGCCAGCCAGGCTGCTGAGGGGTTCGGGCTGCAGCAAAGGCATCCAGTATTGAGCAGTGAAAGTGGGCAGGGTTGTATGGGTGGAACAGTTCCTTGAGGTGTCCCCCACCCAAACTCTCTGGAGCTTCATAGATAAGGACCAGTGCTCTAAGCTGGATCTCATGATTAATGGATCTGTCTTAGAATGGATCTGTCTTCTCCTGTTCATTGACACTTCCCTTCTGGCCATTTCTCTCCCTCTCTTTCCGTTTCAGGGTTTGGAAGAAACTGAAAGGAGTGAAGACGACATGTGGAATCTGAGCTTTTACAAAAATGAGATTAATTTCTTGCCTCGTGGTATGGCTTTTGATACGTGTTGTTTTAAGGGGGAAGTGGGAGCGGTCAAGTTACCTGTACTTGTCTTGGCATGGAATTGAATTGTACATGGTTAGCGAGTATTTTCTAATGAAAAAGACACCATGCCAAGAGGCAGGGAGCAGCTGCTACAAAATGGCCTCTCTCTCTCTCTCTCCTGCAAGAAAGACCTGAAGGACTCAATATGGCCTGCTCTTGTTTTCCCCAGGGAGGCAAAATTGAACTGCCCAGGGAAGCCCTGGGGAGACTTTGAGGCCGTCAAGTCTCTTTGGACCTCTTTGCATGCTTACTAGCGGTGTGTTCATGCCCACACTTGCAGGTCAGCCTCTCCTTCCACTACCCTTCCTTCTCCCGTCCATCTGATCACAAGTCCTTTCTCAGACAACCTGTATCTTGAATTTCAGTCTTATTGTTTTAGGGTGGTAAATGCATAATTATCATCATTATAGTATGCAGGTATGTGTCAGATCCTGTACAGGATTCTCTTCCTATAGATGGACAGGAGGATGCTGGGGGGCTACCCTAGAGCTGGGAGGGCAGCAGGAGGCATCCATCTGCCCCTTGGCTACATGCACAGTTGGTTATTTGTTCATACAGCCACAAAAAGTTGTGTAACTTTCTTCTCTCCTGATGAACGTTGGATGCCTTTGACTTCGTCTTCTCTTGTCAGAGTTATAGAAGTGGAACCTCAAGAGGAGAGGGGGGTGTGCGAGAGAGAGAGAGAGAGAGGGAGGGAGGGAGGGAGGGAGGGAGAGAGATTATGCATAATATATCCTAACATGCACATCCCTACCTATATTTTGCCCAGTCTTCTTGCCCCTCCTGGTTTCGTTTCTTAAGTTCATTTGAATCATTTCCCCGCACTGGGAATCTGACATGCCACACAGGAAACATCCTAGTCTCCGGTACCATCTTTCTTGGGGTTTCAAGAGAGTGGGTTTTCATTTTGGCCGCTACCTTGCAATCTTGGGCAAGTAACTTTTCTTTTAGCCGTACCATCTTGCCTCCTGGAAAGCAAGTGTTTTGTGACTGGTCATTTCACCAAGAAGCACCCTCCCCTCCTTCCCAAGCCATTCTCCGAGACTGGTTGCGGCGCTCAGCACTCTAGAATAAGGAGGTTAGCTACTTAGAAAACTGTATTTTGGACCTGGTAGTCCAGTACCTTTCAGAACTCGCCTCTCTTTTCATTTTGTTCCTTGGGTCAAGGTTTTTCAAGCTGCTTTGTTCAAGAGAGGTGAGCAGCTGATGGCCCTTTTGGACAGCAACTTCTGTTAACCCTCAGCATCGGCTGTCCTGGCTTGCTTTGCTTTTTTAAAACCAGGCACTGTCACAGTGTTGAAGCTCTTTTTCTGTAGACCTGTGGGCTAACCAGATAACTTTTGTTCTTTTTTTCAGTTGTTTTTAAATAGCTGAGCTTAGTGATTTCAGAAAACTTGCAAACCAAATTTTAGTCCATGAACCAGTGAAACGAGGGTCCCAATCTTCCCCACATTCCTGGTATAAGCAATAAAATTAATAGGAGAAATTCTGATCAGTAGCAATCAGTCTAGTGAGTTCTGCAAAGATATCCAGCTTTTCAAAATTAGCAGAGAAAGGATGGGCACGTGCAGCCTTCTCCGTTCCATTAGTTGGGGTGAGTTTGGAGTAAGTCAGAGACTCGGCAATCTGTAGGAGAGAAATTGAGATTCTGGGAGTACATAGGATCTGCTGAGATTTGCCGTGGAAATGCCATGTGTCCCCTGCCCGTAGGACTTACAGTTTCGATTTAGCTGCTAGGAATAAGAGGCTTTTGTTTTAATGCAAGAACAGCGCTTGTTGCTAGGGCTGTCAGGAGAGGACCAAGGCCAGTTCGTCATCCCCTGAAAAACGTGTCCTTTTAAAGCACACCCTGTCATGCAGCTACCTGTCTGTATCCATCCATAAGTAATTGGGTGCTTTTCCTCCCAGGCCTCTATATTGAAGACCTCCTCGAGACGTGGCAGAATGACTACAGCACTTTGGAGGAGAACCATTCATACATTCAATGGTAAACGGTTCTTTTTCTTCCTCTTCTGGAGGCTCTCTAAAACATGAGCCAGACCGTCTTCTAATTAAGCTAGAATGCACTCGCTTTGGAAAGACCTGTGACATAAACGGAGGTTATTTGTAGTTTTTGCTTTTACTGGCTTAATGCAACTTGCATTTTAGAAGCATAACATACCTTCCTGGCTACCGCTGTATGCCCAGCCATTGACTTAGATAAGTACTCTTAAAATGCCCTAAGGGAAGCTGCAGTGCTCGCAAACTTACGCTTCTGTGTGCTGTTGCAATTCCCACCCAATACAGAATATAGGGCAGGCTTGGGCAAGAGATGCGTCCCTTTTGTGGGGTAAACTCTGGTGAGGATACAAGCAAACAGTGGCTGGAGTAAGGCCACAGTAGGCAAAACCGAGCGGGGCCAGCCACAGTCTTGCCATGCCTTGCAGGTTGCCAGGGCAAGAGCGGGGATCCCTGATGCCAGAGGTTCAGAGTCGTCATTACGAAAAATAATTTGAAATTGGGTTTTGGGCACAGGGTTACTTTAAAAACCCTGGCTTGGTTTCTGTTGGTCTCCACACGGACACAAATTCCAGGTTGTGGGTTCTGACCATTTGTTGTTGTGGAAATGTTTAACGTGTTGTTAACCATCCTTCAGATGTGGTGAGCATCAGTGGAAATAGGGTTAAGAGCACAGGCCTGGGACTCAGGTGATCTGGGTTCGAGTCCCCGCTCAGCCATGGAGCCAACTGGGTGACTCTGGGCCAGTCACAGACTCTCAGCCCAGCCTACCTCACAGGGTGGTTGTTGTGGGGATAAGTGTGGAGAGAGCCAGTGTGGTGTAGTGGTTAAGAGCTGGGACTGGGACTCAGGCGACCTGGATTCTAGTCCCTGCTCTACCATGGAGCCAACTGGGTGACTTTGGGCCAGTCACAGACTCTCAGCCCAGCCTACCTCACAGGGTTGTTGGAGGGGGGACAAGATTGAGAGGAGGAGGATGTAAGCCGCTTTGAGTTCTTTAAAAGCAAAAAAGGCAGGATAAAAATCTAAGTTGTCCTATTTTCTGTCAGAGCATCTTAGGTACCAAAATTAAGATTTCTGTGCACCGTGGAAGAAGCGGGGCAGCTTTTGACCCCTGGGGCTTTCTTTGCCAAAGAGGTGTTACATCTCCAATTGTCTGTTTGAAATCACTGCTGTTCACCCTGAACAAGAAGAATTTGCCAAGTTATCTGTTTATCTCAGCTTGCCTTTGCTACTGGGTACTGTCCAAATGTTTCCGGCTGCTATTGCCATTACCCCTGAATGGGCTGGACTGAATGGACATGCCGTCCAAAACATTGGGACTCCCAGGCTGGGGAACCCAAACTAAGCCGTCAAGACTTCCACTCCTCTTCGAACTAAACTCTTTTCAAGCTTTCAACTATTGTTTGTGGAACTGACCCGTGTTAAGCAGTCCGGGTTTTGTTTGATGGGCAAATATTTCTTCCAGGCTGTTTCCTTTGCGTGAGCAGGGAATGAATTTCCGTGCAAGGGTACTGACGTGCCAGGAAATTGAGGTAGGAGGATTCTTTTTCTCCTTAAGAACAGGGTGCCCCTTTCCCTAAATTACTCTGCCCCCTTTCCCTGTTTTGTTTTGTTTTTTACAAAAGGAGAACTCCCGGGGCCATGGGAGTTTGCATGTGGTGGCTCCTTGAGGCTGTCATTCCCACTGAAAGGTGAATTAGTCTGGTCCTTCCAGCATGAACCAAAAAAAGTGTTCTAGAAGCTTCTACGTGTTGGCTGGCTGATGGGATCCTAGTGGGTTCAGGGTAGCTGGTGGGAAGGGGGCTAACTTGTTCTCCTGACCTGTTTCCTTCCTCCATGCCTTGTCTGTTTGGGCATTTCAGGCCTTCAGGAAATCCAAGCCGGTCATGGAGAGGTTTGTGCGGGCATACAAGCTCATGCTGAGATTTTACGGAATCAGCCTGATCAATGAAGAAACAGGAGAATTGAACCGAGCAGAGAACTGGCGTGAGAGATTTGACAACCTCAACCGGTGAGTGAGTTGCTCAGCTGATTTGAGCAAATGGGGGTGTGGGAAGTGGGTACTTGTGGGCTGCACCGGTACCTCAGGAATACCAGGGGGCTGCCTCCCTCTTCTAAATCTGACAGTAAGTATTCAGCTAAACACTAAATCAGCATCATGGTTCCTGCAACTTTCCAGAAACCGATCACTTCTTAGAATCTCCGGACTGTAGCTCATTTCAGTGTGAATCTTTTTTATGCAGTGGATCTACCTACTTGACTCTTTCTGTCTCCCTTCCCAGGTACAGCCATAACAATTTGCGGATCACTCGCATTTTGAAATGCTTGGGAGAAATGGGCTACGAACACTATCAAGTGCACTTGGTGAAGTTCTTCTTAACGGAGACCCTGGTTAATCAGGAGCTCCCAAGGGTGCTGAGAAGCACCCTGGACTACTTCATGTTCACTGTCCGAAACAAGCGGAGACGGCGAGAGTTGGTGCATTTTGCATGGCGACACTTCAGGCCGAGACGGGACTTTGTCTGGGGCCCGCACAAGAAACTCCGCAAATTCAAGCCTCGATCCCCAGAGTTCCTGCATGACCAGCAGCTCCAAAGGGACCTGGAGCCTGGTCAGAAGGGAGCAGGAGAGGCTCTGGGGACGGATGATGCCAGATCGCCAGAGGAAGTAAGCCAGAGGCTGGGTGAAGAGTCTGCTTGGAAGGGAGCTGGAGAAGCAGTGGGAAAGGATACCGCTGAGATGCAAAATCTGACCGATGGAGTAATAAATCACGATCCGGTTGGGCAGCCAGTATCCACAGCAAGTTCAGAAACGGGCATTTCACACAACGATTCTGCACCGGACACAGTTGATAAGAAAGAGCCGTCCGTCTCGAGGGAAGGCGATGGATTGCAGGCTGGAGGTGCTACAGAATCCCAAACGGTGCTGGTCAGTGAATGTAAGACCTCAGAAAAGGCAGAGCAGCCTAGCCCCACATCGGTGGGAGAAGCCAACGCAGAAGATGGTGTCCAAAAAGGGACCCCAGGTTCTCTCCCCCAGTTGGAAAAAGAAGACCCCGTGGGTGAGTGCGGGAGTGGAATAGACAGCGAGAGTCTCAAGGAGTCCAAGAAGAGGAAGTTAGAAATGAGCAGGTTATTTGGAGAAAGTGCTGGGCTACCGAAAGGCCCCAGTGACATCGAGAAGATCTCTCTCAACCTCGAGGAGGTGGTGATCGGTCAGAAGCTCCTGGACAGCCACCTGTCCACGGAGAAGACGGCAAATCCGGGAGGACTAGCAGGAGGCAGTGAGGATCACAGAGATGAAAAGGAGCCTGACTTGGCCAATGCAGTGGCAAAACGGCGGAAAGTGGAAGAGACGCCAGAGGGGGAGAGTGCCTGCAAAACACCTGAAAAGGTGGGCGTTGAGGTGGCCGCTCCGGAAGGCCAGATCGCCAATTGTGTCGTTCCTACTCTTGCTAGGACAGGTCAGGTTGGCCAAGATGGAGCGGAAATGCTTCCTGATGCTTCTGTGCACACCGTGACCAAGCGTGCAAGTGCCAGTGTGGATCCACTGGTGAATCCCACAACGAGCTCTGAGCCTGGGCAGCCGTGGGGCAGTGGTGCCCCAGATAAAACGGAGGGGCAGCAAACAGCCTCTGCAGTGGGAAGCGTGGGGCCTCAGCCCTGTGGAACCCTGCCAGCGGACGAGCAGGCAGTGGAGAGACTCGGAGAAGGAGAAGCAGGGGGCGTGGAAGAAAAGACCGAAGCTGCTGCCGCTGGGCGTGAAGCTCCTAAAGCAGCAGAGAATCAGGACTCCCAAGTGCAACCGAAAGAAGGAGAATAGCCCTGTCACAGGCAGCATGAAACAGGGTCTACAGGCAGGTAACAGAACCCTTTTGCCAACGGATGAGAACACCTCCAAGTCCCCTATGTGCGTGTGTGTGCGTGTGCATATATATATAGCCTTGCATTTGGTTGGTTGTTCTTTTTTGTTTAACTGTCTCCACAGCCACAGCCCTAAATTGGGTTTTCTTTGCTGGAGAGTGAAAAAACCTCAGGGTGAAGAATCTCCCATTTCAGTTGGTGACTTGGCATTCTGAGTGCTAGAAGAATGCTTGTGTGTGTTTTCTTTTTAAATTATTTCAGACAGCTTTCAGCTGAAATAGAATCGGGGGGGGGGGGGTTTGGGAGCTTTTTTAGAGGTTAAATACAACCTAAGCCATTTTGTGGGCACATTTTCCAGTCTTTACTAGATGATCCAAAGTAATTATTTGTTAAATTAATGTTGGTTTTGTTCAATAAATGGATTCACTTTTCGATGCAAAGCATCCAGTCCCCTTTCTTCGTCTTTAAACTGGGCATGGTTGAGAGAGAGAGCTGGTTAAGCAATCAGGAGAGAATATTTTGAGACTTCCTGATGCAAGTTCTTACATATGGGAAGAACAGCAGCCGTTTCCTTCCTCATATCCCTGGTCTTTGATTTGGAGCAAGTTCTCCCACGAGGAGTATTAATAATAATAAATAGTGCTTAAATGGATCGCTGCCTTGTGGCGAAGGGGCTTGCGTAGCTCAATGAAGCTATGAGCTATGCCCTGCAGGGTCACCCAAGATGGACAGGTCATAGCAGAGAGCTCTGACAAAACATGATCCACTGGAGAAGGAAATGGCAACCCACTCCAGTATCTTTGCCATGAAAACCCCATGGACAGTACCAAAAGACAAAAAGATATGACGCCGGAAGATGAGCCCCTCAGGTCGGAAGGTGTCCAATATGCTACTGGGGAAGAGCAGAGGGCTAGTACTAGTAGCACCAGAAAGAATGAAGCGACTGGGTCA